AAACATACAAGGAATCAGACCAGGACACGGAAGGAAGGAGCAAGTTGCCTGAGACGAGAGGGAGGTACATTTTCAAAATAAAACAGGAAATCACAGGACATGAGACAGTTTTACTAACGCCATTTCCTGGGCATGAAAACTTTACTGGTTGTTATTGGGACAGAAAGAATCAGCCAATCAGAGCCCTTGTTGTGGGCAGGCCTGTAACGCATGTGCCTGTTGTCTTGAGTTGTTGCTACTGCAGCAGGTGGGCGAGAGAGAGTCGGTAGGCAGGACGAGGTCGCGAGTTTCACCTTCAAATCTTACATGTGTGCTTACATAAGCGCTTAGTTGTGTATTTATTTGTGAAGTAGGCTTAGATAGAAAATGTAAATATAAATATTCGCCTACAGAGGCAACAGGTCTGTAGATGATGCTGTCAACACGGTCCTCCACTTTATCCTCCAGCATCTAGACTCCCCAGGAAGATATGCCATGATCCTGTTTGCAGACTCCAGCTCTGCCTTCAAAACGATCATCCCGGCTCTGCTGCAGGACAAACTTTCCCAGCTGCACGTGCCCGACTCCACCTGCAAGTGGATCACTGACTTCCTGTCAGACAGGAAGCAGCACGTGAAGCTGGGGAAACATGTCTCTTTAGGTCCATCAGGACCGGTTCCCCCTAAGGTTGTGTTCTTTCCCTTTTACTCTTCTTCCTGTACACAAACAGCTGCACCTCCAGTCACCAGTCTGTCAAGCTGCTGAAGTTTGCGGATGATACCACCCTCATTGGATCGATCTCTGGTGGGGACGAGTCCGCCTACAGGTGGGGTCTGACCATCTGGTGTTGTGATGCTGCCAGAACAGCCTGGAGCTCAACGCTCTAAAGACAGTGGAGATGGTTGTGGATTTCAGGAAGAACAGAGCCCCACCTTCACCCATCACCCTGTGTGACTCCTTCTGTTTTCTGGGCTCGATCATCACCCAGGACCTCAAGTGGGAGCTGAACATTAGCTTCATTACCAAGAAGGCTCGGCAGAGGAAGTTCTTTCTGGCGCAATCCACTTCTACACGGCCATCATGGAGTCCATCCTCTGCTCCTCCATCACCGTCTGGTACGCTGCAGCCACAGCCAAGGACAAGGGCAGGCTGCAGCGTGTCATCCGCTCTGCAGAGAGGGTGATCGGCTGCAATCTGCCGTCTCTCCAGGACTTGTTCAGACTCGAGTCTGCTTTTCAGTCCAGGTCCTTCTGGCCCCCAGCTAACAAACTAAAAAATGATAATTAGCGACCCATGCTAACTAACTGATGCATTTAATTTCATTTAAAAGCAACCAAAGCTGACTCCAATAAGGGTTCATGGGCGGCGTGAATCAAACATTCACGAGCAAAAGTCTGTCTCTTATGACCACACTCTCGACTTGGTTCTTGTGTATGGCATTGGGATTGAACATTTAACAATTTTTCCACAGAACCCTCTCCTGTCGGACCATTGTCTGATAACCTTTGAATTTCTACTATCAGAACCACCTCCTCCTGCCAAGGGTTTCTACAGTTGACGCTTATCCGATACCGCTGTAGCCTCATTTAAAGAAGCCATTCCTTCTGCTCTAAGTTCAGTGCCCTGCCTCAAGATACAAGAAGACTCCTGTGAGAACCTCAGTCCGTCCCAGATCGATAATTTTGTCGAAACTGCTACAGGCTCTTTGAGAGTGGCGCTGGACGCTATTGCTCCTCTGGAAAGAATAGCAACAAGAAGGAAGTCTGCTCCGTGGTATAACCCTCAAACACGGAACCTAAAGCAAACTGTGCGGAAACTTAAACGATTATGGCGTTCCACCAAATCAGAAGGATCTAGGCTAGTTTGGCAAGACAGCCTTAAAACATATAAGAAGGCTCTCCATAACGCAAGAGCATCTTATTACTCATCATTAATAGAGAAAAATAAAAACAACTCCAGGTTTCTCTTCAGCACTGTAGCCCGACTGACAGAGAGTCACAGCTCTGTCGAGCCGTGTATTCCTTTGGACCTCACTAGTAACGACTTCATGAACTTCTTCAATGATAAGATTATGGCTAAGACTATCAAAGAGAAAATTGATGGTCTCCTGCCTTCAACCAGTGCCGACTTGTCCTCCGATGTAGGAACCTTGGATGCAGCAGTGGGCCCTGATGCCTGTTTGGATGCCTTCTCTTCCATCAACCTTGATCAACTGACTTCTTTATTTTCAAAGTCTAAATCTTCTACTTGTCTCTTGGATCCGATTCCGACCAAGCTGCTTAAGGAAGTTTTTCGTTTAGTTAGCACATTCTTATTAGATATTATGAATCTGTCTTTGTTGACAGGACATGTACCACAGTCATTCAAGGTAGCTGTAATTAAACCTCTTCTTAAGAAACCTACTCTTGCTCCAGAGGTGTTGGCTAACTACAGACCTCTCTCTAATCTTCCCTTCCTCTCTAAGATCCTTGAGAAATCTGTCGCAAATCAATTATGTGACTTTCTACAAAACAATACTGTGTTCCAGGATTTCCAGTCAGGATTTCGAGTGCATCACAGTACAGAAACAGTACTGGTGAAAATTACGAATGATCTTCTACTTGCATCGGACCAAGGACTCATCTCTTTTCTTGTCTTGCTGGACCTCAGTGCCGCATTTGATACCATAGACCATTGTATCCTGTTGCAGAGACTAGAACATTTAATTGGTATCAAAGGAACTGCACTCGGCTGGTTTAAATCCTACTTATTGGATCGATCCCAGTTTGTGCTTGTAAACGGTGAATCCTCTAAGACCACCAATGTTGGTCACGGAGTCCCACAAGGTTCTGTACTTAGACCGATTTTATTTACCCTCTATATGCTTCCTTTGGGCGATCTTATCAGAAAGCACCGCATAAACTTCCTTTGTTATGCAGACGATACTCAACTGTATCTGTCGATCTGGCAAACAACGGAAGTTATCCTGATAGGCCCAGAGCGCCTTCGAAGCCAGCTGTCACGTGATACAGTTTTTATGGATGGAATTGCTCTGGTACCCAGCAGCACCGTCAGGAATCTGGGAGTTCTCTTCGACCAGGATATGACCTTCAACTCGCATATAAAGAAGACTGCCTATTTTCATATACGTAACATATAAAAAATCAGGAACTTCCTGTCTCAAAGTGATGCAGAAAAATTACTTCATGCGTTTGTCACTTCCAGACTGGACCACTGTAATTCTTTGTTATCGGGCTGCTCCTGTAAATCTCTTAAGCCTCTCCAGTTGATTCAGAATGCTGCAGCACGTGTTATTTACAAGAACTAAGAAAAGGGATCATATCACTCCTGTATTAACTTCTCTGCACTGGCTCCCTGTTAAATCAAGAATATATTTTAAGGTACTTCTCCTCACCTACAAGGCACTTGGTGGTGAGGCACCGTTGTATCTTAAAGAGCTTGTAACACCGTATTGCCCTACAAGGCAGCTGCGCTCCATAGATGCTGGTTACTTGTTGTTCCTATGGTTTTAAGAAGTAGGATGAGGGCCAGAGCCTTCAGTTATCAAGCTCCTCTTTTGTGGAACCAGGTTCCACTTTCAGTCCGGGGGGCAGATTCGGTCAGCTCTTTTAAAGTAGAACTTAAAACTTTCCTCTTTGATTCTGCCTATAGTTAGGGCTGGCTCAGGTCAGCCCGGACCAGCCCTTAGTTAAGCTGCTATGGGCTTAGACTGCCGAGGATCTTCTTAGGACACACCGAGCTCCTCTCTCACGCTCTCGTTCTACAATAATTCACGTTTTATTAATGCACATGACTAATTCAGCTTCTTTCCGGGAGATGTATTTTACATTATATTTGCTTTAAGAGAGGAAAGTAACTGTGCACAACTCCTGACGCCTATTGTGTGTTTTTGCTCGACACTCACAGGAAGTTGTGGTGGACTTCTGCACATGAGCTCACTGGCTGCTTTTGGGTCTCTGTGGCGTTGTGTCTTAATGTGCGTCTCAAAGCAGACAGCGAGTGAAACAGAGTGTGACTCATGACATCAGTCACTAAATGGGCCTTCATTGATACGAGTATGAAACTATGAAGGCGTCCATTGTGCTCTTGGCTTCACTGCCAACGACTTGTAATATTGTTAAAACGTTATTACGAGATGATGAAATGCTTTTTGCTCATGAAGTGTACATTTACCGTCTTTCTCTCATTTTAAGCTGCGACTTCTTGACATTTACTTTTTGGCTGCAGCCACATTTCCTCTCACATTCCCCACATCTGTCATTAAAGCTCCAGCTGTTTAAAAGTCCTTCTCTCCACCTCTCAGGGTTGTTGGAAGTCAAAGTTGAGACAATTATCAGGACATTTGAGTCCGGCTCCATGAAGAGTTGAGCCTAGCTTAGCACAAACACGGGAAGCTAAACAGCTAGCTCACACTTACAGAAGAACATACCGCGTCCTTCACACGTGGGACGTCTTTAGCGTACGAAACATGACAAACATGATGGAGGCTCGGTTCAGTTACATGAGTGACTCCAGCTGTCACTTCCTGTGTTTCAGCCAATCATTTCACTGCAAACGTTGATCTGTGACTACATCTGCAGTGTGACATCAGCACTGAAGGTCAAACCATCAAGAGAAACTGCACAGGAGTCTGCAGACTTCTGTTCATCTCAACATGCATCACTGATGCTGCACAACATGACGGACGTTTACTTTCCTTCTCTTTCTGCTTTTGCTGTCGTTATTTCTGCTGTTTGTGACGTTTGTGTGTTAATTCTTCCACAAAAGGTTTAGATTGATGACAGCCTATCTTTTGTCTCTATAACCTGTAATGTGCACGTATGTGCACGTATGTGCACGTGTGTGTGTGTGTGTGTGTGTAGATGAAGGTTATTAACGCCACTCACAAACAAATGACGCGTGGAAAGTTGAGCGTTGTGGTTTAAGTGTGAAAATGAAGTGTGAATCACTTCCTGTGATTCTCAGCATTTAGTCTTAGTGACGGTGGGCGGGGGGACGGGGGGACGGGGGACGGGGGACGGGCGGGTCTATGAAGAGCAGTAGACACTGAGTAGTTTTACTTGAGCTGTTGGTGGTTTTATTCATTGGGAGGCTGCTGTGGAGAGACGGAGGAGAGCTACATCGATCCCTTCCAGCAGGACTCAGTGTCTCCTCAGCATGACAAATGTCTCTGCATGGAGGTCACATGCTCTGTAGAGACATTGTGACTCATGACTTGTGTCCATTGTGTTCCTTCAACATACACAATGCTACAGAGACATGAAGCTTCAGCAGCAGTTGATAGAATACGCACATTAAAGGGAGGAGGACCACAAGCTGTCTTCATCATATAAGTCCAGTTAGAAGAGAAACCCGGTTCTTCACCCCCTGACCTCACGTGGCTGGATGAGCGTCAGGACACCAGCACAATGACAGTAAAAGTCCTGCATTCAAATGGATTCCTCAAGTGTGAAACGCAGCTTATGGGCTCCGTGAACTAATAAATATTATGCTTCCAAGTCAATTAATGATGCAAGATATTCAAATGAATAATATAGCATTTCATTTGAATTGTTACATTTTGACATTTCTCAGTGAGGTAAATGAAACTCATGTTTTCTTCTTGTATGAGTACTACAGTTAAGTGGAGGTATCTTTATACTTCTATGATTATGAAATACATCATAAAACATCTGTAGCTGTTTGGGGACCTCAGGAGAGCGTGTTCCTCTGGGTTCGGCCCGTGGGGGTTTAGATCTGGACTCTGATGTTTGGTCTTTGCAGGTTTATCGCTGAGGAAACAAGGAAGCACCGTTTCTATTCTTCAAAAACAAAATATCACATCTGCTTTTGTAAGTAAGTTGCAATTGATTTGAATAAATACTATCATAACATCCGAATTCAAAGGACCAATCAGATGTAAAGGATTACATTTAAATCCTTCTTAGAATTGTACATTGCTTAAATACTCACAATGAGAAGCTCAGGATGTAGAAAGTGAGGCAGAAAACAGTTTCTAGATTCAAGAGGAAATGCATTTAGTCCTTTTCAGCCAATCAGGATGATTTCTATCTGATGACCGTGTGACCAAACCTTTAAGGAGGAAGAATTCAGTTGCAGTGCAAGAGAAGAGGGGGCTTCACCACCATGATGGGAGGACTCGCTCTTCTGCTTCTTTTAGGAACACTGTGTGAGTGACACTTTACACCTGGTTATTGTTTCTATTAAACGATGTTGGACTATTAAGACAAATTAATACTTTACCTTTTTCACCTTCTTGTATCACGTGATCGATTTAATGTTGTTTCTTTTCTTTTCTTCAGACCCGATTGAAGCTGCAGAGGTTCAACAGGTCTCTTTGACGGAGGCTGAACTTGGTGGAAATGTTACGTTTCAGTGTCCAGTTTCTGAGGAGGAAAAAAATATATTGTACTGGTACAAGCAGCCTCTTGGATGTACGATCCAAACTGTTGCTACAATAACTTTCACCAAACAAACACTTCGAACACAATTTAACAACTCACGTTTCAGAGTCACTCAGGATTCTTTGACCATCATGAATATCAGCAAAGAGGACGAAGCGACTTACTTCTGTTTCACTGGATCACAATTTTCACCACGTTTTGGTGACCGCACCTTCTTGAATGTGAAAGGTAAAATATATTTAACTTGCAGCGTTGGCGCCACATTTGATGTCAGACAAACACTTGAGATTTGAATTCCTTTGGATGTTTCCCTGAATCGTGCAGATGGAAGTCTGCAGAAATCCTTCCACGTGGAACAAAGTCCGGAGGCTGAGTCCGTCCTGCCGGGCGACTCGGTGACCCTCCAGTGTTCTCTTGTCTCCAGGGACAAAGAGGACGGGGTCCAGTGTCCACACGGACACAGGGTGTTCTGGTTCAGATCAGGAGGATCCCATCCAGGCTTCATGTACACTCAGGATACACAACCGGGGAACACAAGTTGTGTCTATCGTCTGTCCAAAAGGATCCGGAACTCCTCTGATGCTGGGACTTACCGCTGTGCCGTGGCCTCATGCGGACAGATCCTGTTTGGTGGAGGAACCAAAGTGGACACAAGTACGTTTTAAAGTCTCCCGTCTTAAATAGGGAATCACTCAGTACGATTTAAACGTTAAAGCTGGTGAGATTTAAATGAGAAACAAGGTAGTCATTGAAATAACTGACGTGAATGAGGCGTTAAGGGTCTATTTTGACATTTCTCTCATTCCAGGATCAAACCTGAAAGTGGTTGTCACAGTTCTTGGCGTCCTGTTGGCGTGCTGTGTGACTGTGATTATCCTCCTTATTTTCTACGTGAATCGAAGGAGAGCTGAAGGTCGGTTAACCAGATGAACACGGACTAAATGAAACATTAACTCATGCACATTGAGCCCCACCGACTGATCTCCTGAATAAGTGGTTGGCGTATTGAGCTCAGGGTCATTTAACTAAAGTTAGTAAGTAAAACGTATCACAGCAGCAGGAGAACAAAGCTCAGGTCACTGAAGACTTGGGAAGCAAGTAGTTAGTTGAGATGTTTTCAAGCTTCAATCATCAACAGCAGCGTCACGGCTACAAATCCAACACAGTCAGAGGACATCTGTCACCACATTCTCTGTTCATCTGAGAACAAAGTCACACAGAGCTTATTATATTACATCAGATGATACGTTACTGCATTCTAGCAGTGGATCAGGATCAGATACATCAATATATATATATATATATATATATATATATATATATATATATATATATAGTGTTTGAGTCAACGTGTAACTGTAAAGCGACTGAAAATGATTATAACAACGATCACAATAAATGACGCACTTCTTTGTCCTTTTGTATTCAGCAGAAGCAACAAGCGGCGCCTGTAATCCTGCTCAATCCCAGCGGACAGCGGATCAATCAGCTGACCCGGTAAATATGTTCATAACCTTCATGCTCAGCGCCAGAGACTCAGAACATTATTCTGATTCATTAAAAAATACTCATATATAGCTAATGATAACCTCTATATATGCATCGTGATGGTAACCTGTATATTTTAGACTTTACCTCTAAAGTCTGTTACTAATGGATGTTATTATTTGCAGGGCGGAGACGGAGAAGTAAGTAATTATGCAGCAGTGAATCTTTCCACAAGACGTGAAGTGAAAAGAGTGAAGAAAAGAGCTTCTTCACAGGAGTGTGTGTACTCCGCTGTGCGAGTGAACACACAACTCCACCTGTAGAGCAGTGAGGCTTCTCAATGGACGGACTTTGTTCAGCTTTGAATGTTCAAAACAAATGAGGGGAAGTTCATATTGTCATTTGAAATGAAATGCTTCCTGTTGGTCGAGTTCTTCTTGTGAGACACGTGAGCACGCTGGAATGTGACTGGTTGTCGAGGCGGAAGGAAAAGACATCAGTGCCTGAGGAAGAAGTATGCCAGTTTTCATTTGCATGGAAGATGTCAGAGAAAAGCCTTATTTCTTCTTTAAGCAGTTACTTTCTAAATCGCTGCTTTTATTGTCTTAGTGGATTAACAGTGTTATTTTATTTTCATTTTAAAAAGTCTGTTTTTCAATCTACATTTTTTTTTTAAATGTTTCATCTGCATTTTCAAATGTTGTTTTTTGGTGCACTTCAATGTTCCAAGGAAATAAATACATTTGACTTAATTGCACGACTGTCCTCAACCTGCCTTTTCAAGGCAAGTCTGCTGAATCAGATGAATTAAAACATCATTTATTTTTTAAACTTTTTAACTAAAAGAAAGAAGATTTTTCTTTTCAGTTTTCGTGTGTTAAACGCTCCTCTCCCACACTGATACATGTGGTGGTCATAAAGGACAAAATGGACAAACAGAAAATCAACCCAGTGTAACAAATTTCTGTAAATTGACGGTAACTTACACTATTTCACAATAACTGTAACATATAGTTACATTTTCATCAGGGTCAATGCCATAAATGTAATTAAACAGTTGATGCCGTCAATTTTCATAATAACAGCAGATGACCGTAATTTAACGTCATTGTATTGAAATACTACTTATTTATGAAGTAGGTTTAGTAATGTAAATATTCGCCTACAGAGCCAACGGGGCCACTTTCCTCACACGTGGTTATCTCAGTTAGCCGGATCATTTTCAGGATAAGATGACGTAGATCAGGCTTGTCGGTTCCCCGCAGCAGGTTTGGCTAAATTACCATAGCAACACATCGAAAACTTGAACCTTTGAGCTGCTGGATTAGTTCGCCAATCCCCCGAAAAAAATGGCTGCTCTCTGTCACGGTTTGGGTTTGTTTCCTGTTTTATTTTGTAGTTTCCGGCCTCTTGTCTCCCGGGTAACTTCACTTCCTGCTTTGTCATGTCATCCCCTGTGATTGTCTGATTGTTTCCACCTGTGTCCAATCACCTGCACCTACCGAGTGTATTTAAGCCCTGTGTGTCTTTTGTCCCTCGTTGCGTCATTGAATGTTCTATACTGAATGTCTTGGTGAAAGTCTTGGCGGTTCCTGGTCCCGGTTCCTTTTCCCTTGGCGAGTTTGTATTTTGACTAGTCTTTTGTGTGGAACTCTGCGTCTGCCTACCCCGATTGTGACAGAATGACGCAACCACACAAGGACTCAGCAGAGTTTTTTCCCCTGAACCAGTTCTCGGGAACCCGTCTGGCTCCCTGAACGCCGACCCCCAGAGGCCGGGCCCTCTAACCCTCGTCCCCTGGTGAGAAGGGGACGTATTCTCCTGATGTTGTAGAGCGTGTATCTAGGAATCAAGAATCAGGAAACATTTATTGCCAAAATATGTCAAACATACAAGGAATTTGACTTTGCGGTTGGTGTGTGACAGTAGACAGTGTAACAATAGACAACAAGACAACAGTGCACAAGTAATAAAATAAAGTAAAATGAAATGCTAATGCAATGGGTTAGTAGAATAAGGCTATGGGTTAGTATAAAACAAGAGAATAAAGTTAGAGTTCCATCCATCCATCGTCAAACCGCTTTTCCGGCACACAGGGTCGCAGGGGGGCTGGAGTCCATCCCAGCCAACTTCGGGCGAGAGACGGGGTACACCCTGGATTGGTCGCCAGCCAATCACAGGGCTACACAGAGACACACAACCATTCACACTCACATTCATACACCTACGGGTAATTTAAATTAACCTGATCCCCAGAGCATGTCTTTGGACTGTGGGAGGAAGCCGGAGAACCCGGAGAGAACCCACGCAGACACGGGGAGAACATGCAGACTCCACACAGAAAGGCCACTGGGCAGAGTTGAACCCAGGACCTTCTTGCTGTGAGGCGACAGTGCTAACCACCACGCCACCGTGACGCCCTAAAGTTAGAGTTTAAGAATTTAAAATATTGAAAAAGTTAAAAAATATTAAGCATGAAGTGCACTAGCGAACAAGTAACAAAGTGACGAGTGACGACAAAGTGATGAATTACAGTTAAAGTGGCATGTGCAGTGTGAAGGGGAGTGACCGGTGGGATGTTATAGTCAGTCAGTGGGGGACCGGCTCTGTTGATGAGCCCGACTGCCGACGGGAAGAAACTGTTGGTGTGGCGGGAGGTCTTAGTCCTGATGGACCTCAGCCTCCTGCCAGATGGAAGGGGCACAAACAGGTTTTGTCCGGGGTGAGAGGGGTCGGCTACCATCTTTTTAGCTCGCTTCAGAGACCTGGAAGCGAACAAGTCCTGCAGGGACGGCAGATTGCAGCCGATCACCCTCTCTGCAGAGCGGAGGACACGCTGCAGCCTGCCCTTGTCCTTGGCTGTGGCTGCAGCGTACCAGACGGTGATGGAGGAGCAGAGGATGGACTCCATGATGGCCCACCAGAGATCAGTCCAATGACTTACTTATTGAGCTAAAGAGTAGGCTATGGTGGGCAAAAACATTTATAATACTGGCGCTTTTTGCCCCCCTTTACGGGCTGTGGATCCTGGACTATATACTTTCCCATATATTCTAAAACCTTTAAACATCCCTAAATATTTGCACATACTGCACACTGCCCACCATAGACTACTCTTAAGCTCAATAAGTAAGTTAACTTACCTAAGGCCTTCTTCGGCCAATCTCCTCTGAATCGTGCTGGATGACACACCAAACAGATCCGCGATCTCTCAGGTTGATAGACCGGACAACAAAGTTAGCCAGCTCGTCGCCAGGAATATCCAGAGGCGGGCGTCCAGCACCTGTGCTTGTAGTACCAGTGCTAATGTTGACTTCATCAACTTGGACCTCTTCCACACGCACGCGGTGCTCAATCAGTCTTAAACTATTTAAAACTTCGTTGTCTATGTATGAAGAGAAGAGCACTTATCCGCCCTAGTATTTCCAAAAAAACCTCAATATGTGTCAAAATCCTATCTGCAGAAAACCCATGTTGATCGATTTGATCTGCTAATGCTAGCATGCTACCTCGGAGCCCAACGATGTCTTCCATTATGTAAACACTAACGTCCCTTAGCCAGCCTTCTTTTGCACACGGCTCTGTTGTCTGTTCTGAATGTTAGATGTAGCCACGCCCCCTGATTTGCATATTAGAACGTGAAATGCAAAACGGCATTATGAAATAAGTCTCTGGAAATGAAAAACGACATTATGAAATAAAAATCTCAGGAAATGAAAAACGGCATTATGAAATAAAAATCTCCGTAAATGTAAAACGGCATTATGAAATAAGAATCTCAGGAAATGTAAAACGGCATTATGAAATAAAAATCTCCGGAAATGTAAAACGGCATTATGAAATAAAAGTACCATGAAATGAAAAGTGGCATTATGAAATAAAAGTACCATGAAATAATTACATTCATTTAATATTCATTTATTTATTTCATAATGTATTTCAATTGGATATTTCATGTATTTATGTATTTATTCATTTATTTAATTTTGACTAAAACGGCATTCCATACATTAGAACGTCAGGATCTTTTACACTTTGCTTCACTTTCATGACATCATTGGCCACGTGCTGAAATACTGTAAGACCCCGACATACCCCCCATCAGTGGGCCCCAGTCTGCTTTGTGGGGTGAAGGACAAAGACAAAATCCCTCCCTTTGGGTTTGGAAGGCGTGTCCTGATTGGCCGGCTGCTTTCATGCAGCTCTTCAGTGAACGAATGCCTGCTTGTGATTGGAGGAGAGTAATACCTGCAGAATCCAGTAGGGGGCTCCACTTGTGAAATGGAACTACAGCTACAACATCTTAACACTTCTTTTCTTCCCATCTTCAAAGATAAATGGAGAGGAGCAATAGAAAGATGACAAACTTTGTTTTTACAGTTTAGAAGCACAACTTTAATCCCATTTGTTGATTAACTTTGAGTGAGAACAGCTTAATGAGAAGCAGGAGAGAACCTTTCAACAGCCACTGTGGTACGACTAGTTAATTAGCCAGAGAGCATTATGCAGAAATGGATAACTTAATCCTGTATATATATTTTACATTAAAGGGGTCCAACATCTAATGCAGCTGTAAGTTTACATCAAAATAGCAATCAGTCAATAAAAATCTATGGAGCATAGAAATGGTGACAATGCAGATGGTTCTCTTTAAAACGCACACTTGGTGCCTCCTACAGGCTCTCTAAATGTGGCCTTTGCACACGGTGGCAGACAGAAAGAGGCTGTGAGAGTAAAGTCAGTGTAACAGCGTCTGAGATTAATCTTTGCATCATAGTGTAACACAAAGCAACTAGTGCTACATGGAAGCATGATGTAATCCTCTATTAGTCCCAAAGCGGTGAGCAGAACACATCACATGTCATCACGGCCTCTCGGCCACATACAACAGCCTTTGGACTTCCATCACACACGCTACCAGCTGATCTCACTGAGTCCAGGAAACATGCTAATCCGACCCGGAGGCCTTGGCAGCAGCGTGGATGTTCTCCCTCTGCGCTCCCTCTGCGCGCCTCCTTCCACCTGACTTCATCACGGTGAAGACGGCAGTAGAATAAGTCCACGCGTCTTCATTCCTCTGAGCAAACGGATTGTAAATCACTTAAATGGATGAATACTGATCAATATACATCATATGTTCATCTGATGAATTGATCTTACCTTGAAATTCCCCTTTGGAACATTTTCTAGCAGAGAAGCAGCCGCTAAACATGAGATACATAATAAACTGTTGTTAGAGTGATAATTATGATAATAAGAGCTAATTAATGAGTGACAGGAAGCTTCTTACCTTCATTATTGCAATAATCACACTTATTTGTCTTGATGACGTAAATGAGGACGGCTGCCACATTCAAACTAAGAACCACGACAGAACCCAGAAATACGTCACCAAAGGACCAGAACCCGTCTGAAACAAACAGAACACAGAATCACATACAGCACAATACAACCCTACAACACAGGATTTAACACACAAATGCTCAAATCAATCTGTATGGACACTTCGATCTCTTTAAAGCTAAAAAGATCTCTCACCCCGGACAGAACCTGTTAGTGCCCCTTCCATGTGGCAGGAGGCTGAGGTCCATCAGGACTAAGACCTCCCGCCACACCAACAGTTTCTTCCCGTCGGCAGTCGGGCTCATCAACAGAGCCGGTCCCCCACTGACTGACTATAACATCCCACCGGTCACTCCCCTTCACACTGCACACGTCACTTTAACTGTCATTTATCACTTTGTCGTCACTTTGTTACTTGTTCGCTAGTGCACTTCATGCCTAATATTTAAACTTTTTTAATATTTTAAGTTTTTTAACTTTAACTTTATTCCCTTGTTTTATACTAACCCATTGCATTAGCATTTCATTTTACTTTATTTTATTATTGTGCACTGTTGTCTTGTTGTCTATTGTCACACTGTCTGTCACGCACCAACCGCCAAGTCAAATTCCTTGTATGTTTGACATATTTTGGCAATAAATGTTTCCTGATTCCTGATTATTTCCTGTAAGCCACACGGCTGGTAAATGACCAAACATTGTTCAAACCTGCATTTATTCATTTATTTTTCTTCCTAGCATTAAAGTTTAAATCGTACTGAGTGATTCCCTATTTAAGACGGGAGACTTTAAACGTACTTGTGTCCACTTGGTCCTCCACCAAACAGGATCTGTCCGCATGAGGCCACGGCACAGCGGTAAGTCCCAGCATCAGAGGAGTTCAGATCCTTTTGGACAGACGATAGACACAACTTGTGTCCCCCGGTTGTGTATCCTGAGTGTACATGAAGCCTGGATGGGATCCTCCTGATCTGAACCAGAACACGCTGTGTCCGTGTGGACACTGGACCCCGTCCTCTTTGTCCCTGGAGACAAGAGAACACTGGAGGGTCACCGAGTCGCCCGGCAGGACGGACTCAGCCTCCGGACTTTGTTCCACGTGGAAGGATTTCTGCAGACTTCCATCTGCACGATTCAGGGAAACATCCAAAGGAATTCAAATCTCAAGTATTTGTCTGACATCAAATGTGGCGCCAACGCTGCAAGTTAAATATATTTTACCTTTCACAGCCAAGAAGACGCCATCACCAAAACTATGTGAAAATTGTGATCCATAGAAACAGAAGTAAGTCGCTTCGTCCTCTTTGCTGATATTCATGATGGTCAAAGAATCCTGAGTGACTCTGAAACGTGGTTTGTTAAACTGTGTCCGAAGTGTTGGTTTGGTGAAAGTTATTGTAGCAACAGTTTGGATCGTACATCCAAGAGGCTGCTTGTACCAGTACAATACATTTTTTTCCTCCTCAGAAACTGAACACTGAAACGTAACATTTCCACCAAGTTCAGCCTCCGTCAAAGAGACCTGTTGAACCTCTGCAGCTTCAATCGGGTCTGAAGAAAAGAAAAGAAACAACATTAAATCGATCACGTGATACAAGAAGGTGAAAAAGGTAAAGTATTAATTTGTCTTTATAGTCCAACATCGTTTAATAGAAACAATAACCAGGTGTAAAGTGTCACTCACACAGTGTTCCTAAAAGAAGCAGAAGAGCGAGTCCTCCCATCATGGTGGTGAAGCCCCCTCTTCTCTTGCACTGCAACTGAATTCTTCCTCCTTAAAGGTTTGGTCACACGGTCCTCAGATAGAAATCATCCTGATTGGCTGAAAAGGACTAAATGCATTTCCTCTTGAATCTAGAAACTGTTGCCTGGTGCCTCATGGTAACGGTACATGAATTGTTATGAATAAAGTAATTTATTCATTGATGCAACAACTTAAGTATCTCATCATGAATTGTAACTTTATAAACCCTGATAGCGCACAGATTACGGCATCCCGAGCTTCTCATTCGGAGTATTTAAGTAATGTACAATTACAAGCAGGGTTTAAATGTAATCTTTTTCATCCGATTGGTCCTTTGGATGTCATGATAGTGTTGATGAATTGCTTTTAAACTTACTTACAAAAGCAGATGTGATATTTTGTTTTTGAAGAATAGAAACGGTGCTTCCTTGTTTCCTCAGCGATAAACCTGCAAAGACCAAACATCAGAGTCCAGATCTAAACCCCCACGGGCCGAACCCAGAGGAACACGCTCTCCTGAGGTCCCCAAACAGCTACAGATGTTTTATGATGTATTTCAGAATCATAGAAGTATTCAGATGTATGTTGCTGAAGCTTCTTCCGGATGGTTGATTTTGGACCACATGAAACCATGATGGTTAATGTTACATGAGGGTGATGTAATGCATGACATCACAGCTTAACTCAAAGACGCTTTAAGCCAAAGGCCAATGAATGTATTGTAATATTAAGGGGAATAGAGATTGGTCGCCAGGTGGGATGTCATGGTGACCAACGTGGGAGGAGCTATGTTTAAATGTGCAGACAATCACGTACAGCCACATACAGCTCTGCTGGAGAAGATGCAGGCAGAAGCCTGTGGAGATTTCCTGTATTTGCTTCTGTTAGTTATTGATTTCTAAACTCGACCCAGTTGATTCTCTTGACCTTTCACCTCTGGCCAGCCGGAGGGAGAAGGGAGCTGAGCGTTGGTCTGCTGGTAGAACCCTCACGGACCTCCACTTAACTGTAACGTCCTCATAGCATGAACTGATACTGCAGAAGGAAACATTGTAGAGCTTCGTTTACCTCACAGAGAAATCTGACTGGTTACAAAATGTATTAATTTCAAAACTTCTCCGTCTCTCCACAGCAGCCTCCAAACAAATAAAACCACAAACAGCTCAAGTAAAACTACTCAGTGTCTACTGCTCTTCATAGACCCGCCCGTCCCCCGTCCCCCCGTCACTGAGACTAAATGCTGAGAATCACAGGAAGTGATTGACACCTCATTTTCACACTTCAACCACAACGCTCAACTTTCCACGCGTCATTTGTTTGTGAGTGGTGTTAATAACCTTCATCTACACACACACACACACACACACACACACACACACACACACACATACATACACACACTCACATACACACACTTACACAAGTACATTACAGGTTATAAATATAAAAGATTAGTGATGATTAATCTAAACTTTTTGTGGAAGAATTATCTCACAAACCTCCCATCCTGTGAGATAACCACAGCCATACCAGAGAGAGAAGGGAAGTCAACCCTCGTCCTGTCGTGCAGCAACAGTGATGTGTGTTGCGATGAACAGAAGTCTGCAGACTCCGTGCGTTTCTCTTGTGGGCTTGACCTCAGTGCTGATGTCACACTGCCGATGTAGTCTCAGATCAACGTTTGGGTGAAATGATTGGTTGAACACAGGAAGGGACACCGGAGTCCGCATGTAACTGAACCCAGC